AAAGTTGTAAACTTTTAAAGTGCTGTGCTTAAAGTGCTGTGTGGCATTTTCCTTCCCTCCTCCACCACCCCTCCTGGGCTACCTTGGTAGTCATCCCCCTATTTGTGTGATGAATGAATAACGAATGCATGACTGTGAAGCAGCAATGACTTTATTGGCTCTGCAAGCAATGATTAAAGGGAGGAGGGGAGGGTGGTTAGCTTACAGGGAAGTAGAGTGAACCAAGGGGTGGGGGGGGTTCATCAAGGAGAAACAAACAGAACTTTCACACCGTAGCCTGGCCAGTCATGAAACTGTTTTTCAAAGCTTCTCTGATGCGTACCGCGCCCTCCTGTGCTCTTCTAACCGCCCTGGTGTCTGGCTGCGCGTAACCAGCAGCCAGGCAATTTGCCTCAACCTCCCACCCCGCCATAAACGTCTCCCCCTTACTCTCACAGATATTGTGGAGCACACAGCAAGCAGTAATAACAGTGGGAATATTGGTTTCGCTGAGGTCTAAGCGAGTCAGTAAACTGCGCCAGCGTGCCTTTAAACATCCAAATGCACATTCTACCACCATTCTGCACTTGCTCAGCCTGTAGTTGAACAGCTCCTGACCACTGTCCAGGCTGCCTGTGTACGGCTTCATGAGCCATGGCATTAAGGGGTAGGCTGGGTCCCCAAGGATACATATAGGCATTTCAACATCCCCAACAGTTATTTTCTGGTCTGGGAATAAAGTCCCTTCCTGCAGCTTTTGAAACAGACCAGAGTTCCTGAAGATGCGAGCATCATGCACCTTTCCTGGCCATCCCACGTTGATGTTGGTGAAACGTCCCTTGTGATCCACCAGAGCTTGCAGCACTATTGAAAAGTACCCCTTGCGGTTTATGTACTCGGCGGCTTGGTGCTCCGGTGCCAAGATAGGGATATGGGTTCCATCTATAGCCCCACCACAGTTAGGGAATCCCATTGCAGCAAAGCCATCCACTATGACCTGCACATTTCCCAGGGTCACTACCCTTGATATCAGCAGATCTTTGATTGCGTGGGCTACTTGCATCACAGCAGCCCCCACAGTAGATTTGCCCACTCCAAATTGATTCCCAACTGACCGGTAGCTGTCTGGCGTTGCAAGCTTCCACAGGGCTATCGCCACTCGCTTCTCAACTGTGAGGGCTGCTCTCATCTTGGTATTCATGCACTTCAGGGCAGGGGAAAGCAAGTCACAAAGTTCCATGAAAGTGCCCTTACGCATGCGAAAGTTTCGTAGCCACTGGGAATCGTCCCAGACCTGCAACACTATGCGGTCCCACCAGTCTGTGCTTGTTTCCCGAGCCCAGAATCGGCGTTCCACAGCATGAACCTGCCCCATTAGCACCATGATGCATGCATTGTCAGGGCCCATGCTTTCAGAGAAATCTGTGTCCATGTCCTGATCACTCACGGGACCGCGCTGACGTCGCCTCCTCGCCCGGTATCGCGTTGCCATGTTCTGGTGCTGCATATACTGCTGAATAATGCGTGTGGTGGTTAATGTGCTCCTAATTGCCAAAGTGAGCTGAGCGGGCTCCATGCTTGCCGTGGTATGGCGTCCGCACAGAAAAAAGGCGCGGAACGATTGTCTGCCGTTGCTCTGACGGAGGGAGGGGCGACTGACGACACGGCTTACAGGGTTGGCTTCAGGGAGCTAAAATCAACAAAGGGGGTGCCTGTACATCAAGGAGTATTTCAGGCAGGACTGCACGGAGGGTTCCAATAAGAAATGGTGCACCTATCGTTGTTATTGGAACAAGGAGGTTAGCCTGGCCTCTGATTGATACATGGCTAGATTTACCTCGCTGCACCTTCTCTGTGAGTGACTGCAGTGTGACCTAGAGGAATGAGTCCCCTAGACAGGGGAGGAGGGGGCAAATGAGTACAAAACAAATCTGGTCTATTTCTTGTTTTGACCCACTCCATCTATCTTTTACATCTTTGGCTGGCAGCAGACGGTGCAGAAGGACTGCATGCCATCCACATCTCATGGCTGCTCGGCAGAAGATGGTACAGTACGACTGCTAGCCATCCCCATCTCTTGCCTGCCTGGCAGAAGATGGTGCAATACGACTGCTAGCAATCCTCATCTCTTGCCTGCCTGGCAGAAGATGGTACAGTACGACTGCTAGCAGTCCGTATCGCCTGCCCGCTCACCATAAGACGGTTCAATAGGACTGACTGCAGGACTAAAGAGAATGACCTGGTCAAGTCACTCCAAATTTAGTCCCTGCGCCCATGTCTGCCCAGGCGCTCCCAGCCGACGCGGCCAGGAGCACCTCGGACACGATGAGGACGACTACCAGTCGTATTGCACCGTCTGCTGCCAGAAGGCAAGGGGTTGCTGCTACTGTGCAGCAAAGCCGTACCGCGTCTGCCAGCACCCAGGAGACATAGGGTGACGGTTACCTGAGCGGGCTCCATGCTTGCTGTGGTATGGCGTCTGCACAGGTAACTCAGGAAAAAAGGCACGAAATGATTGTCTGCCCTTGCTTTCACGGAGGGAGGGAGGGAACGGGGGCCTGACGACACGTACCCAGAACCACCCGCGACAATGTTTTAGCCCCATCAGAGTGCTCCATTGTGACTGCTCTGGACAGCACTCTCAGATGCCCGATTGTTTGCCATTGCTCTGACGCTGGGAGGGGCGCTTACAGGGTTGGCTTCAGGGAGCTAAAATCAACAAAGGGGGTGGCTTTACATCAAGGAGTATTTCAGGCAGGACTTCACGGAGGGTTCCAATAAGAAATGGTGCACCTAAGTTATTGTCCTTATTGGAGCAAGAAGGTTAGCCTGGCCTCTGATTGATACATGGCTAGATTTACCTCGCTGCACCTTCTCTGTGAGTGACTGCAGTGTGACCTAGAAGAATGAGTCCCCTAGACAGGGGAGGGGGGGAAGCAAATGAGTACAAAACAAATCTGGTCTATTTCTTGTTTTGACCCACTCCATCTATCTTTTACATCTTTGGCTGGCAGCAGACGGTGCAGAAGGACTGCATGCCATCCACATCTCATGGCTGCTCAGCAGAAGATGGTACAGTACGACTGCTAGCAGTCCGTATCGCCTGCCCGCTCACCATAAGACGGTTCAATAGGACTGACTGCAGGACTAAAGAGAATGACCTGGTCAAGTCACTCCAAATTTAGTCCCTGTGCCCATGTCTGCCCAGGCGCTCCTGATCGACCTCACAGAGGCGACCAGGAGCACCTCAGACATGACGATGACGGCTACCAGTCATACTGTACCGTCTGCTGCCACAAGGCAAGGGGTTGCTGCTACTGCGTAGCAATGCCGTACCGCGTCTGCCAGCACCCAGGAGACATAGGGTGACGGTTACCTGAGCGGGCTCCATGCTTGCCATGGTATGGCGTCTGCACAGGTAACTCAGGAAAAAAGGCGCGAAATGATTGTCTGCCCTTGCTTTCACGGGGGGAGGGAGGGAACGGGGGGCTGACGATATGTACCCAGAACCACCCGCGACAATGTTTTAGCCCCATCAGGCATTGGGATCTCAACCCAGAATTCCAATGGGCAGCGGAGACTGCGGGAACTGTGGGATAGCTACCCACAGTGCAACGCTCCGGAAGTCGACGCTTGCCTCGGTACTGTGGAAGCGCTCCGCCGAGTTAATGCACTTAATGCACTTAGAGCATTTTCTGTGGGGACACACACACTCGAATTTATAAAACCGATTTCTAAAAAACCGACTTCTATAAATTCGACCTTATTCCGTAGTGTAGACATACCCTGGGAGCTGTTGAGAAAGGATTTGTGAATATCGGGAGCATTCAGCCTCGCTTGGCCCAGAGGCACAGCCAGAGGGGATTAAAAGCCAGGAGTTATTGTTCCCTTGTGGAACCAGATAACAGTATTATGCTTCTCTGTCAAAATGGGTTTAAAAATGCTCTGGGCCCATTGGAATTAGAGGTGGGAAAGCCCCGTTAGGTCCTCTAGTCTGGTCCCACAGGACCAGAAGAATTGTACCCTGGTGCATTTTCTAATAAAACTTGTTTTTCTCTAGTGCTTTCCATGCAAGGACCTCACAATGCTGCATAAACATTCATAGGCCAAATTCACCACTGGCCCAGTGACATTAGCCTCACTCTGTATCTGTGAAGTAGGTGAGTTATTATTGTCCCCATATTGCAGATGGGGAGACTGAGGCCCAGAAAGGCAAAATGATTTGTCCAAGGTGCACAGGAAAGTTTGCAGTAGGTCTGTCGCAGTTCAGTCCTGGGCTGTAACCACAAGACATCTTCCCTCTTGCTAGCTTGTCTGAGATGTCCCCACAAGATGGTCCATTGACTCCTGCTGGATTTGGGGCATGTAAGAAGATAAGATTGAGCCCTAACCAGCTAATTTCATTAATTTAAATCATTTTTGAAATGCAGTCACTCTCTGGAGGGGATTCTTAGTAGATTTTTAAGGTCACTTGAAAGCCAGTTCAGCTTCCTTTTTCTTTCTAGACAGAAATAGGCACATTGTGGTGGAAGATTTGACTTTGCCATGGTTCCTTGCTTAGTCATCTGCAGTAGCCCTGTTTGTTCCTTTTCCTCCCTGAGTTGCCTTCAGAATTTGCAATGTGAAGAGCAGTTCAGGAAACACAGAGAAGATGACACAGCTCATCTGCACTTAATGGATTCATCATCAGATCAAATGAGGATCTCAAACCACACCCACACGCACACACCCACACCTATCCTCTTTCCATTGCCTAAAATCATCACTTAAGGGAAAAGGATAGTACTTTGCACTCAGGCCAGTTCTATACAAAGTTGTACCTATAAAACTAGAGGTGTGATTTGATATCACTTTGGTTAAACTGGTGTAACTTTGTGCCGCTTATATTAGTTTAAACCTGGTTTATAGCAGTTTAGCTTGTGCCACAGGCTATAAACTGGATTATGCCCCTTATAAAGTGCTACAAACCAGATGTGGTATAAGTGTGTTCAAATACAAAGATGCATCGGAATTATAAGCTCTTTGGGGAAGGGACCATCTTTTTATTCTGTTTGTACAGCACCTGGCACAGCGGCGTCCTGGTTCATGAGGACTCCTAGGTGTTACCCATAATACAAATAAAGTGATTCAAGTTCAACTGATGTAACTTCTGTGCGTAGACAAGCTCTTATGTCACGTCTTTAATCCCAGGAGCTGAATGCGTTTTGCTGACATTCATGAATGAAGCCTCACCCCACCCACGGGAAAACCGATGAATCTGTTTATCCCCATGCGGTAGATGGTTAAACTGAGGCACAGCAAGATGTGATTTAGCCCAAGGTCAGTGCCAGGGAGAGAATCCAGGAGTCCTGACGCTCAGCGCCATGCTAGACTGCGCTGCCCCTTCCCCTACCTTGTCTCTTTCATGCAGTTGCTCTTTGGACTTTTTTTTTTTTGGCTTGTGTCAGGTGTCAATGTTCAAATAGGGAATTGCTCTGCTGGACAAGACCAGGAAGCTGCATCCTCTTGGGTGACCGCAGGAAGGAATCCCTGCTTTAAAATTATTTATTTTCATTAAGAGCTCCCCACCCCCTGCTATTTATTCTTTTCCTTTTCACTGACCCCCCAACAAGTCTCTGGTTGGGCTCTGAGGTCTCTGAGGCCAAAGCTTTGTGGGGGGGTTTTTTTAAACAACCATGTTTTCCCCTGCAGATTGGGCAATCCCAGTGTTTTTTTCCCTCAATCGGCATTGCCAACACCAGGTTTGACAGCTGCTGGATGGGATTTCTGATTCCTGCTGTGAGGCTACAGGGAGTCCAAATGTCAACACACAAACAGCAGCTAGGCCCCGGTTCATGCGTGACCATCACAACAACTGCACTGACTCAACGGGGCGTTCACAGGAAGCCAAGCCGGAGAGTCACGACTCAAGGAGCATTCTCAGGGCCCCAAACTTGGGGTAACGCTAGACAGCCTCCTGACTTCCCTATACCCAGACAAGCTAACACAAGGAGAGCGCAGCTTTGCTGTGACGCCTGGCTCGTAATCACCCACAGCCCAGCTTTAGAGATAGTCAGGGAGCGTAGCCCTCAATCAAAACCAATCCAGCACTAGGACAGTGGCTTTGGAGAGCAGGGAGGGTAGGTTTTCAGGAGCTGGCCCTAGATCACAGACAGTCCACCGCGGGGATAGCTCAGGGCATAGGACTGATGGGGCTAGGATGAGGATGCAGGTTCTGGCTACCCTCTGTGCTACTTCAGTGCACAAACTGGAACTGGCTGCTGAGTCTGTCATTAGCTTCCCAGCATGCTTTTGGTTCAGCAGGTGCCTTTTGAACCCCAGACTGGTGCCTGTGGAGATTGGGTTTTGCTCCAGCGGCCCTTAGAAGGGTTCATATGGGATCGAAATGGCACCAGCAGTCGGGGGAGATCAGGCCGTCCCTTTCCGTCCATCCACATCTCCTGTCCCATCGTCATCCCAAGAGAGGATCCGGGGACCATGAATGGATTTTGGTGGGGCTATTTCACCACTCAAGATACAAACCGGCTATGACGTTGCACCCCATAATGCTTTATAGAAATATGCTTATGAGTGTAAATATGACATAACTGGAATATGTTTTATGCTAGATATGCCATGTAACATATCATATTCATCCTATTCGTATGCATGTATCATTTTTATATCTGAAGTTATGAGCGTTGGCTCTATGCTTGTATTTGAAGTGTTTGCTGTAGAAAGAATCTAAGGCAGATTTGGTCAACATAGTGTGAAGGGGTTATTCAAGTAATTGGGAGTACTTGGCTAACAATGGATCTTGATAGATGCCAGTCCACATCTGAGCTTTCCTGGGAACGTTTGGGCTAATATACGGGCAATGGCGACGGCCTGTAGAGAACTGAGTCATGCATGGACATGTGAAATGCCCATGTGACTCCAAAACTCCATCTTGTAGCTATGATTCTACACAGGGGGAGAGAAGGGTTTCCACGCACAAGAGAGAGACTATATAAGCCCCTGGAATCCCCTCCATTTTGTCTTCAGCTGGCTCAAGAGATAGCCTCTCCACCCCAAAGAGATGCCTGAAAGAAACTGGAACAAAGGATAGTAACTACAGGGGTGTGACAGGTTTCAGAGTAACAGCCGCGTTAGTCTGTATTCGCAAAAAGAAAAGGAGTACTTGTGGCACCTTAGAGACTAACAAACTTATCTGAGCATAAATACAGCTGTAGCTCACGAAAGCTCATGCTCAAATAAATGTGTTAGTCTCTAAGGTGCCACAAGTCCTCCTTTTCTTTTTACAGGGGTGTGAGTGATTGCTGGACCCTGACTAGGAGGGACTCTTGTCTGTAAAAGAAGCTTATTGGAACATCTCTGAGGGTGAGATTTACCTGCATTTAGTTTCTTACTGTAGTAGGCTTAGACTTGCAAGTTTTTGTTTTATTTTGCTTGGTCATTTACTTTGTTCTGTCTGTCATTACTTGGAACCACTTAAATCCTACTTTTTATATTTGATAAAATCACTTTTTACTTATTAATTAACCCAGAGCAAGTATTAATTCCTGGGGAAGCAAACAGCTGTGCATATCTCCCTATCAGTGTTAGAGGGTCAACAGTTTATGAGTTTACCCTGTATAAGCTTTATACAGAGTAAAACGGATTTATTTGGGGTTTGGATCCCATTGGGAGCTGGGGGTCTGGGTGTTGGAGACAGGAGCACTTCTTAAGTTGTTTTCAGTTAAGCCTGCAGCTTTTGCAGGACGTGGTTCAGACCTGGGTCTGTGTTCGTAGCTGGCTAGCTTGTCTGGCACAACCAGGCAAGGTACTGAAGTCCCAAGCTGCCAGGGAAAACGGGCTCAGAGGTGGTCCCAGGACATCAGGTGGCAGGCCCAAGGGGGTTTCTGTGATCCAACCTGGCACACCCAGAGACACCCCATGCGGGAGCAATGCAAACTGGCAGCTGGCTCACAGATTCCCCATTTACTGGGTTCCTTGGACACTTGCAGCACCGACATTGAACCCCATCCCCACAGCACGCTGCAGGACAGCTGCTGCCCACAGGGTCACAGCCCCTCCGACTCTTCAGTTCTGATGCCAGAAACCGGCTCTCAGGACGCTGGGACTGGTCCTTCCACAGCATTCCAGTAACACAGCGGCAATGCTGCCTTGAGGCTGCCCCCTGGTGGTGCAGGAGATCAGCAGTAGGCAGCTTGCAGCACTATCTGTGGGCCTGTAACTCTCCCAGCGTGAGAGTGGGGCTGTCTGGGAAGCTGCCATCAGTTTCAGCCCCAGTGCAGGGCCCCACTCATACAGTGTGTGATTCCACCCACTGGCAGAGGCGCCTGGCATAATCTGAGGGGCTGACGGTGGAGAAGGTCTGTCCCCGGTACCGGATGCATTTCCACAGGTGCTCGAGCCTCTTGGGGAAGCTGTACACGGTGAACAGGTCAATGATGCCCATGAAGTAGCGGAGCTCCGGGCCATCAAGCAAGTGCAGAGGGCTCCTGCATCTGGGCAGCAAGCGTCGGTTCTGGGCCAGGATGTAGGCCAGATCATGGTCAGGCTTGGCGCTGCTTTGGAAGCTGACATCCTGCACCCCAGAGTTCAGCTCACGCAGTTGGTAGAGGTCGACTTCTCCTACCATCTCAGACACCACAATGTCAGACTCTTCATCCATGATCCCTGACATGGAGGTGAGCAGGGAGCTCTCGGGATTGCTCAAGGACCTGTAGCAGGGAAAGGCCAGGACAGGGAATGGGTGAGATCTTGGGGACACCCCAGATCAAAGTGATAGGAACCAGCAGCTGGTCTGCAGCTTCCCCATTGACTTGGTTCCTTGGACGCTCACAGGCTCCTAAGGTTCAGTCATCTACGGTCATGGATTGTGGGCCTGATTCTCAGTTACACTAAAGCCCTTTATGCCACTTGGCAGGGGAAAGGGTCCCTGAGACCCTCCCCCAGAGGAGAGGGCAGCATACAGCTAGGGTAAGGGCTCTGTGCTAGGCTGCTCCCAGCCCCAGGTGCAGGAGATATGTCAGGAGCAGGCCAGGGGCAGAGCATGGAAGGGAAGGGCATGGCCAGAGATTATAGCTGTTCTCTGCTTCCTAGGGCTCCTAAGCACCTGAGGGAAAGAGAGTGAAAGGTAGAGCAGCTCTGAGGCTGCTGGGACTGACACCAGGGACTTAACATCCCCTTTGCCTCATCCTCCAGTTTGGCCACAAAGGAGGAATGCTGTGACTGAGAATCAGGGCCTGCGACGCTGAGTCCAACTACATTCCTGTGGGGTCTCTGCCCTCCCGGGGATGCTGGGCTTCAGGCACTCTGCAGGCTCACCCCAAGCAGCGTGGTAGCTGGGGGCAGAGCCTGTCGTGTCTGCTGCTTGCCCCCAAGCAGCCAGAGCTGCAGGAGGAGCAGAGGGCTGGCTGTGAAAGTGGCAACGCGCTCCCCTTCCGTGCTGAGCGTTCTCTGCAGGAGGCTGATCACTCACTTGGTGGTCCTGAAGATGATGTCTGCAAAGGACAGGTTCTGGCCCTTTTCGTCTGCATGCAGGGCCTGAAATGCCACCAGCAGGCTGTAATCCAGCACGTTCAGCTCCTTCAGGAACTGCGTGTCCACCTGCATCTGGCATAGGAGCCAGGAGCGCTGCTGACCTGCAGGAGAGAGCGGAGAGGCTGATAGACATGAGTGAGAGCCCCAGCCAGGGAGGGGAAGGTCTGATAGCCAGGGATGGGAGATAAGCAAGGACAGTTAGCCTGGGAGTGGGAGGGGCAGTGTTCTGCAGGGGACCAAGCAGATGGGGCCTTGGGCAGGGTGACAGACAGTTCTGATGTAGCAGGATCAGGAGCAGAAGAAGCTGCAGCTGGAGGAGAAACAGCTGCTTGTGGAGGAGAGATGAGTGCAACTGGAGGCCAGGCAGCAGAAGTGAGTCAGTGGAAGGAGACACACAGAGCGGAGAGAGAAATCAAGTGACAGCAAAGATCACAGAGCGATCACAAGAGAATGAGTGAGGGCAGAGGGGAGGGCAGTGCAGAGGGAGAGGATGGCTGCTAGTTCAGGGAGTACTGAATGGGCGGGTTACTGGGGTCCCCAGCTTGTAGCTGGCTTGGGACCCAGACTCCATACTGCACACAGCCACCTGCCTGCTGGCCATGGAGCAGCAGGGCTAGATACAGGCCACTCGCAGGCTTTGCAGGAGCCCAGAGGCCCAAGTGTCTGCCTGATGAGCTAAAGCAGCAGCTCAGAGCAAGCAGAGGCACACGCAGCCAAGTGCTTGGACAGGCTCCACCCCACTGTGCTCCGGGACTGTCTGTCTCATGTGGTTCCATCAGCATGAAACTTAGCTGGCAAGCTGAAGAAAGAGGTGGTTGGTGCAGATATGGTCGGGGGGGGGCTGGGGGGACACGTGATCTCCCAGAGCCAATGAGCTGAGCCTTGGAGGAGACAAATAAATAGAAGGTCCTTCATGCTGACTTCAGGGAAATCACTGCCCAGTCTCTGTGCCTCAGTTTCCCCACCCCTCATGATTCTGACCCTCCTCTGCAGATTGCTTGGAGCTCTAGGGACATGAGCCAAGGATCATTATCATCATCAGCATGGTGATGAATGGGCTAAGCAGGACACCACCATTTCCATCCAGCCTCTCTGCACCAATCTACAACCCTGCAGGGTGGACACACAGGCACATCCTGACCAATAGGAGAAGGGGGTGGAAACGCTATGGGAGACCCTGACCCTCGCGGGGGGGGAGCGGCAGCTGCATGGCAAACCAGGAGCAGCAGGGAGGCTGAATGCAGCAGAAGGTGTCGGGGAATCATGGGAAGAACCAGCTGGGGCGGGAGCCAGGGAACCACATGTGCAACCAAGGTCAGGTCTGCGCAGAAGCTGTGGAGAAGCAATGGAGCTTGGGAACGTGGGCAGAGAGGTTCCAAGGAGACAAACCACTAGCGATCCCGGCCTGGAAACCCACCTCCAGCAGAAACGGAGCTGGAGAGGCACCAGGCAGAGGAGCCCTGACCCTCTATTGAACTGCTCCCCACCCCCACAGGCCCACACACAAACCACTTTTGGTTGACCTTAAATTGCAAGATTTCAAGCCACTTTCCCCTTTTGCCAGTCCTAGTAAAATACCCCTTCCTTTAGCCCAGTGTCTGACTTGTCAGTGACCCATGAGGGCTAGCGCCTAGCATCTAAAGTATCTTCGGAGCCTGCCTCCAAGTCACCGTACACCTGGTGTGCTCCCAGTGCCTTTGGGGTTTGCTGGGCCACAGCCCTAACAATTACCCCATCATCACGGGGTAGCAGGACGTCTGCCATCTTGGCTGACACCTGGGGATGGAACCAGGAACGGCAGCCGTAACCCCCAAGTCTCTATAGCTTGAGCTAAACAGCCAGGATCCGAGGGGCCCCCAAGTCTCTATAGCTTGAGCTAAACAGCCAGGATCCGAGGGGCCCCCAAGTCTCTATAGCTTGAGCTAAACAGCCAGGATCCGAGGGGCCCCCAAGTCTCTATAGCTTGAGCTAAACAGCCAGGATCCGAGGGGCCCCCAAGTCTCTATAGCTTGAGCTAAACAGCCAGGATCCGAGGGGCCCCCAAGTCTCTATAGCTTGAGCTAAGCAGCCAGGATCCGAGGGGCCCCCAAGTCTCTATAGCTTGAGCTAAGCAGCCAGGATCCGAGGGCCCCCAAGTCTCTATAGCTTGAGCTAAACAGCCAGGATCCGAGGGGCCCCCAAGTCTCTATAGCTTGAGCTAAACAGCCAGGATCCGAGGGGCCCCCAAGTCTCTATAGCTTGAGCTAAACAGCCAGGATCCGAGGGGCCCCCAAGTCTCTATAGCTTGAGCTAAACAGCCAGGATCCGAGGGGCCCCCAAGTCTCTATAGCTTGAGCTAAACAGCCAGGATCCGAGGGGCCCCCAAGTCTCTATAGCTTGAGCTAAGCAGCCAGGATCCGAGGGGCCCCCAAGTCTCTATAGCTTGAGCTAAACAGCCAGGATCCGAGGGGCCCCCAAGTCTCTATAGCTTGAGCTAAGCAGCCAGGATCCGAGGGGCCCCCAAGTCTCTATAGCTTGAGCTAAACAGCCAGGATCCGAGGGGCCCCCAAGTCTCTATAGCTTGAGCTAAACAGCCAGGATCCGAGGGGCCCCCAAGTCTCTATAGCTTGAGCTAAACAGCCAGGATCCGAGGGGCCCCCAAGTCTCTATAGCTTGAGCTAAACAGCCAGGATCCGAGGGGCCCCCAAGTCTCTATAGCTTGAGCTAAGCAGCCAGGATCCGAGGGGCCCCCAAGTCTCTATAGCTTGAGCTAAGCAGCCAGGATCCGGAGGGGCCCCAAGTCTCTATAGCTTGAGCTAAGCAGCCAGGATCCGAGGGGCCCCCAAGTCTCTATAGCTTGAGCTAAACAGCCAGGATCCGAGGGGCAGTTATGGTCATTCCGACAGGAGGTTCCGTCCACTTCCCAGCGAGTCAGCATCCATGTCATAAAACCAGCTCACCCCACCAATTGGCTTCCCACGCTGGCGGCCTCAGCAGTGAGGCCAGGAGTGAACAGGGACACAGACTGAATTACCGGCTTCTCCCTAGAGGTGGCTGCCTTCAGCTCAGGTGTCAGGCACTTTGGCAAGGTGGCTGCGGGAGGGGATGTCGTACCTTTTTGGTGAATAGAGCACTTAGGCCTCCGGATACATGGATCCTGCATCTTTCTCCAGCGCTAAGCTGGGTCATTCTCTTTCCTCTCTCTCTCTCTTTCTCCCATCAACCTATGATTAATTCACAACCTTCCAGATTGGGACCTATGTAATGAGGAGGTTTAGCTAAGCGGGGTGTGGTAGATGGATAGAGACAGAGGCTGGATGGTGGGTGGATTGAATGGCAGACGGCTGGACAGTATGAAGTGGGTGGGTGTCCCAGCGGGTCGCCCTGCCTCCCCGGGCCTTCCTTGGCCAGGGAAGTACTCACCCAGGTGGATGGAATTTCCTTCGAAGTTGAGATCCTTCAGCACCACGATGACTTGGCTGCCCCCAGGGGCGGGCTCCGTCCAGCGATTCACCTGACACCCTTTAATGTCGTACCTGCACATGGCAATTAGGATAGGTGATTCCTGAACCCCTGTTTAACCCTTTCTGCACCACACCCTAGGCATGACATACAAGAGAGCCCATCGCAGCCGTGGGTCGGAAGGGGGAGGAAAGTATCTCATTGGGCTGCACCATCTGAGAGTGCAAAGGTAGGGTGACCAGATGTCCCGATTTTATAGGGACAGTCCCGATATTTGAGTCTTTTTCTTATATAGAAGCCTATTACCCCCCACCCCCGTCCCGATTTTTCACACTTGCTGTCTGATCACCCTATGCAAAGGGGTTATGCCCATGGACTTTGAAAAAAAGGGTTCAGTGCTCAGTAATTTTTCCATGAAATATTCATGCTCATCAGTAGGTTCATATCCCTCGCAGTCTGCAGCCGCTAGAGGGTGACATGATCACCCATGTTTTATCAGGGTTGCTTGTGCGATATCAGAGTTTGTAAACTCACAGCTGCAGCTATTAGAGGGCAAAGGAACAACACACATGGGAGCAGGTCTGACATTCCCTTTGCTAGTGGGCAGTGGTGACACACACGTTGCAGAGGGGCAGACAGCCACAAAGGCAGGACATTATTCCAGAGAAGAGAGGACTGTACAAATCCCTCTGATTCCAGAGCCATGACCCCTCTAACCGCATGGGCCTGTAACTCACCGTTCAAGGATTCTCTCGTCGGGATAGAACACGCTCTGCATGATGATGAAGTATTTCTAGAGGAGAGAGAAGAAGAGACTTGATGGAAACCGGCACAGAGATGGAGTTGGCTGTGCCAAAGATGGGGCTGGTGGCACGTGACACGGACTCCGACAGGCAGATGGAACCTACCTTCTTCTCCTGAGGCACGATGATGCTGTGAACCCCTGGAAGGGAGGAGACAAGGGGAAAGTTCAGAGAACACAGACCACAATTGGCAGTCTGGCCCGCTGGCGGCTCTGACACCCCCATTAACCAGCAGGGACACTGAGTACCGTGTCCAGGGTACAAGGGCCTTGCAACCTGGGTTTCAAATATCTTAAACATGGTTGCAGCCAAACAGGCTGTACCCAGGTATGGCTAGCAAGGAGGAGGACAGGCCAGACTGGTTGAGAGCAGGGCTTAGAGCCACCTGCTATAGACAAGGTCCCTTCTCAAGCTGGAACCCAGTGGTTCTCGATACACTGCCCAGCAAAAGCCTGTTAGATCCTCACTTGGCAGCCTTGACTTCTGGTCCCCTGAATCGTGACTTGGCTCAAGCAGAATCACAGGGGATAGGCGAGGTGAGGTTCCCCCTCAGAAGGTCCTAGGCCATGTCTCCCAGGTGCCATGTCCTACCATCTCCTCTCTGTTAGGTACTGTCCCAAGCTGGACTGTTCTCCCTGGTGTTTATGGAGCCTCAGTCTTTCCCCGCAGCATGTCGGAGGTGGTTCTTACCCAGAAACTTGACGAGGAGGGAGTGGGGGTATCTCTCAAGGTGCTGGATGTACTTGGGCAGGTTGGAGAGGAGGAACCGGATCTCTCTCTTACTCTGAGTCTTCAGGAAGAAGCATTTGTTGTTCCTACAGCACGAGGAGGCTGAGAGTTACCCCCGGGCTGTTGATGGGGATAGGGGGAAGCGAGAGTCCTCATGTCCTGATCAGACCCAGGACACACTCAGCTCCCCAGGTATGTTCCTATATGCCCAACATCTGCACACTGTATGTCCACCCCTCCCCCCACAGCAGCAATAACCGAACATTTGGAGTTTTGCCATGAAGACACACATGTGACCCGTCTCCCTTCTTAGCATCGCCAGGACACTGCAAAGGCGTCCTGACTGCTGCTATGAGGAATTGCCCCTTGCTAGTGAATATCTGACACGAACGGTTCTGATCAGCACCCCCAATACTTTATCCTTACCCACACACTGTCCCATACCCAGAGACTGGACAGAAACAACACTCTGGGACATACGCTGTCCAAAAATACAGATAGCCTCCCAGTCACACACGGAAACCACCGCAGAGCAGGGGACAAAACACAAGCGTGATCTCCCACCTAATAAATGGGTAGCCTCCCCTCCCCAAACCCATGCAACTACCCACACTGTCCATGGTCTGACATATCCACCAGGTCATGCCAAAATGCAACACACACTTACACACCCTAACATATTGGGTACCTACACAAATCTAACAAAACACAGATCCATCCTCTCTCCCTCCCGCTACAGCCAAGTGCACACAGCATCACGCACCCATTGCATCTGCACACACAAGCCATCTGCACACACAAGCCACATACAATGCCCTATATCAGGGGTTCTCAAACTTCATTGTGCCATGACCCCCTTCATGACCAAGGAAGGGGGGAGACCTGAGCCTGCCCGAGCCCCACTGTCCTGGCTGGGGAGATCAAAGCCCAAGCCTCGCTGTCCTGGATGTAGGGGGGCAAAGACGAATCCCAAGGGCTTCAGCCCCAGGCAGGAGACCTGTAACTCTGAGCCCCTCCACTAAGGGCTGAAGTCCTCATGCTTTGGCCCCAGGTGGTGGGCCTTGGGCTTGGGCCCCAATCCCCAGAAAATCTAACGCCAGCCTCCGCAACCCCATTAAAACGGGATTGCGACCCACTTTGGGGTCCCAACCCTCTGGCCTACATTATAGCAGAGGCAGCATATTTGTGCTGGTTGTTACATGGGTCAGCTGCTGGGTGCTCTCTGATCACGACAGATCTTTCTAGTCAGTAGTAAGTTATCTTCTTGATTGCTGGTTCACTTAGGCAGTTAGTTCTGAAAGGCACGGTACAAATAGATCTTAGGCCAAATTCTGCCTTCAGACGTTCACCTGTCTTCCTGTGGATATCAGTAGGTGTTAGGCGGGACTACCTGAGGTTAAATTGGCTGTCATTGATCACCTAGAGGAGTGGTTTTCAGCCTGGGGTCTGCAGATCCCTGGGCGTCCGCAGACTATGTCTAAGATTTCCAAAGAGGTCTGCAGCTCCATTCAAAATTTTGTACGGATCCGCAAATGAAAAAAGGCTGAAAACCACTGACCTAGACCATTGAGCTCTCAGAGAGCGCAGACCTCTCTCTGCACTCATGGGAAGACTCACGTCAGGAAGAAGTCGGCCTTGCTCTTGGAGTTGCTGATGAACTGCAGGTAGGAGCTCCTGGAAGACAGGGACAGCTGGTATTCCTTCTCCGATATGCCCAGCAAGTGCCTGAAGTAAGCGAAGGCCGGGCCACCATACGTACGCATCTCAAAGCCCTGCAGCGACCCGGGAGGAGCAAGAGGTGAGACCAGGTTCTACTGTACCATGCTACCCGGCACGCATGCCAGGCTGCCAAGTGCTTTCACCCCACCTCCCCCAGTCAGCTGGAGAGGCGGGGGAACAACTGCTACCGGCTGGCCCACAGGGAGCTAGGAATAGCAACAGCATCTCGGTCCTCCCTCAAAGCTACAGAACGCAGACATGGCTACTGTTGGACTAGAGAGTCAGCACAGGTGACTGGTGGAGGTTGTATGGATGTGCCTCTGCATATGTATGTATACGTGACGGTGTGGATAGGTATGGATGTGGGTGGGAGGTATAGAAATAGGGGGGTGGCTATCTGCAGCTCTGATGGACCCTGGGGATAGCTGTATGGTTAGGGTGTGCGGCTACAGCGTAGGGGTTGGGGGGTGGCTCAGGAATCCTGCGACAGGTCCGTGTTAGTGAACTGGGCCTGGTGTACCAAAGCCTCTGGCCGGGGCCTGTGCTTTTTCCCTGCTGTGGTGAGTTCCTACCTCATGGGCCTGCTTCAGCACGGCCTTGCAGTCTGTGTCACTCAGGGCATCCTGGCAAGGAGAGAGAGACAGAGAGTGAGTGCACTGCAAGGGGACTTCTCCCCATTCACGTTCGCTGCTTCGCCGACCTTCCCAATGGGCCTTCCGGAAAGCAAATACGAAATGATCTGGGGGGAGGGAGGGGGAAGGGAAATCGGCCTGGGAGTGTGGGGACTGCAAGAAACATGATGGCAACTAGAGGGAGTACACCGGCCTCTGGGCTCACCCCAGCCCCAGGCCTGCCCCATCTCTCTCCATCTCTTTCCCCTGCTCTGCCCCAGTGCTGTGGATGGAACTGATGCGGGACAGTTATTCCTGTCTTTTTGAACCCCTTCTCCTCACTGCTAGCCAGCTGTCACCATCCTGCCACAGGAGGTCAGGATTTCCTCAGCAGGGATAGGCCCCCCCCATCTACCCACCTCATGCTTCTCTGGTTCCCATCATTGCAGGATCTCAGCCCCCTGGCACAGACTTCTCCATTTGCTAAGGGGAACGCTTCTTGCAGCCCCTGGTCTAGCAGGTCTCTTATTATTATTCAGGCCTTTCAGTAAAAGCCTTTTGTCCTCTGGCTCTCTCTATGAAGCTGTGCCCGCCCTGTTAGCCCCCGTGTAGGGCCGGAGTCCCATCTCAGTCACTCTGGTCTGAATATGCAGGGAAATTCATGGAGTACCACCAAGAGGCTGGCTCACTCCACATAATGTCCAGTGAGTCCGGGGGGGGTCACGGGAATGCTGGGATGGGGGCCAACCCTGGGCTTGAGTTGGTGTGCGCATGACACAGATCACTAGCTACCCCCATCCCTGGGGGCAAGGGGCGGGGAGTCCCCTACAGAGCAGCCTGTTCTCCCTCCAGCAGGAGAGGGGCCACTTTGCTCTTGTCAGTCAGGAGTTTGCTCTGATCACCTGTGCAGAGCTGCGCCGGGCTGCTAGCCAAGCAGTGCGTTTGAGCCACCAGTTTGGCTGGGCCGGCCAGGGCCGAATTTCACATCAGTTCGTCAGCGTTCTCCAAAGAGGGAGCACTAGCCTAGTTCTTAAAGTAGGGGGCTGCCTGGCTGCCTCGCCCTAGGACATGGGCCCGGCCCTTCCCCTCTCAGTGTCAGGGGGATGCAAAGCACTTGGGGCTCCTTGACTGCGGGGAGACAGGAGGGAGGAGAATGGGATCATGACGGGAGCGCTTAGGAGGCTGCACACCTTTGCTACAGCAGCACACCCACTGGTAGCCCCGTGCTGGGGGAGAAGGCCGTGTAGGAGTCTCGTCATATGGTCTGGCAGCTGGGGAGGTGAATGAGCCTGTCCCGGGAGGTACTCACCGCAGGCGGGTTGTCAATGGCCTCTTGGATGGCGGCCCTGAGCCCCACCTTCAACATGCAGGTCAGGTCATAAAACTCGTGCTCCCCGTTGATCTCAAAGAGGCCCAGGAGCTTCCACTTCTGGCGGAGCTTCCAAAGGAACCTGCGCTTCAGCGTGAGAGACCTCCGGCCCCTCGTGCTCTCCGGGGCATCCGTCTGCAGGGGACAAGGCCCAGTCGAGGAGTCAGAGGAGAGAGCAGGGCTCCATCCGGAGGCGGAAAGCCCCGGAGTCCCTGGGCAGAGAAGAACCAACCTGTTCCCAGCAGACAGTGAGGGGCATAGGACCTGAGCTTGAAGAGGTTTGAGGGAAGATGGATGACTGGCAAAGTGGGGGGAGTTCAGAGAGGAACAACAGCAAGGACCAGGGGGCTGAAGGGGAGTAAACTCCCTCTGGTCCTTGAGTGAGATCCCAGACCCACTGACATCAATGCCAAAGTTCCCATGTACTTCAAGCAGGCCAGGATTTTGCCCCTGGAGAACATTTGAACTCCTGGTGAAAGAGCCAAACACTTAGTCCTCGCGGAGACAGGAGCAGTGTGCATGCAAGGGTCAGAGCCAGGCAGGCCAGACAGAATGGTGGTTATCGCTCTGCTGAAAGGCACTAGTGGCTGCCACCAGTGGGGGCTGTAATCCAGGGACAATCACACACCTCAGTAAAACCGATGGGGGCGCCAAGCACTCTCTGTCAGACTCCCTAGAAGGAGCACTTAACCCTTGTATGTAAGGAAAACAGCTACAACCAAGAGAGGCTACTGCCCAAGACACTGAGTCACATGGCCAGGTCTGAGTTAGCCCAGTAGCATAACAGGGGTTTCCCTGATTGCGCACACCGGAACTAGGATATCAGTTTGCATCTTGAGTGGGAACAGCTAATTTAGACCCCATCATTTTGTACATATAGTTGTATTAGCAGATACTAACTTTTTATCATTTTTGTATGTTAATCTCTCATAATTCTTTTATATGCTAACCATAAGCCTTTTTATTTTGTGTATCTATATATTTATTAAAAAAAAGGAGTACTTGTGGCACCTTAGAGACTAACCAATTTATTTGAGCATGAGCTTTCGTGAGCTACAGCTCACTTCATCAGATGTGATCTGATCTTCATCACATCTGATGAAGTGAGCTGTAGCTCACGAAAGCTCATGCTCAAATAAATTAGTTAGTCTCTAAGGTGCCACAAGTACTCCTTTTCTTTTTGCGAATACAGACTAACACGGCTGTTCCTCTGAAACCTATATATTTATTGTCCTATATATATTGAAATTAAAAAGTTCTTTGTCCTTTAATTGAACCTAATGGGCAAAGAACATGAGAATGGCCAGACTGGGTCAGACCAATGGTCCATTTAGCCCAGTGTCCTGTCTTCTGACCGTGGTCAATGCCAGGTGCTTCAGGGGGAATGAACGAACAGGTCATCATCAAGTGATCCATCCACTGGGACAATGAACTCAATGATGAAATGCGTATAATCTTTTACCCTGATCTTATTAATATAGGCCAGATGTCCCAGGAAGAGACACACCCACCCATCCACAACCAACTACTACAAAGTTTCTACAGAAGGATGTTATAAACAAAATGAGGTGACTGATACAGGATACTTGTTATGACAGATGGGCTCTGTAATGGATGAAATAATGCACCACTGAAAGGTGTTTTAAAATCATTTAAGCACTGTCAGTAGTCACAGCTGTTAGTAATAATGACTGGATTAGAGATTCTTTTTTGCTCATCAGTCAGGTAAACTGAGGATGACATTCCAAGAAATTCCATTAGTAATGAGGAAAACAGAACATATGGTAAAAATAATTATGAGAAAATATTTTCCCTTCCAAAAAAGGAGTTTCTTTGTCTCACACACTATAAAAGGACATAGGTTTGGGGTGTTAGATAGGGAACAAACACTGTCGGCATTCCTCCAGTACAGAGGAGGGGATTCAACTACTTTCTCTTCACCGTCTACAGGGGGGTGGCAAAGCATCTGTTCCTTCTGTATAGAGCTGTATCAATCTCTGATTGATAATCTCGATTAAATCAATTCCGTATGAGCCTGTCATCTGACAATCGCAAATCACTATTCAATTCAAACACCCAACGTTGGGATTATGTTTTCCAAAGTGCATTACTTTGCACTTATCAACACTGCACCTTCCCTCCCGTCTGTCGTCACATGCCATCTCCCAGTCACCACTGCAAGTCACCAGTCAGCTCTCTGTAGACTAGTTTGAGAACGCCTATAAAATACAATATGACTCACCATGGCTTCTCTCTGAATGTCAGGCCTCAGCTCTTCAGTGAACGCTACCTGCTGATGCTGCTGGCACAAAGGATTCCTACCAACGAACCCCAGTCCATAGCCCACGGGGCACACCGTCCATGCTGGCGGGAACCAGCCTGTGCAAAGCAAGAGCACAGGGTGCAATGATTGGTCAGTGCAGCAACCAGACAAAGCACAGTTAGATGGAGCATGCATGCATGAAGTGGGGAGTGCAACATGAAAAACCAGCTGCCTTAGTGCCGGGGGCATGAATCAGTGTGCGGAGCAACAGCTGAACCCACGTAAAAATACAGATCACTGCTTGGGCAGAGCAGTGGCAGGAAGATGGGCTTGAGTGAGCTCTGACTGGCCTGCTGGATGGGATCAGCAGTGAAGTGGGACCAAACAGGGCGAGTCTAGACTCCAAAGGGAGTTAGGTGCTGGGTGGGTCCCAGACTGACTGACATCGAGAGACTTTACCTAATGGAGCACAGGAGTCGAAAAGCTACAATCCACGGACTTGCGGAAGCCTTGGCACTAACGCAGTCAACAGTTCGAGACGGTCCGATTTTAGGAAGGCAAATTTGGGGAAATTACAGAGCAATAGGGTCTGCTCTCATTGAAACAGGGTGAGAGCCGCTGCTGGCTTCAATGTATCACTGTGACCATCTTCTTAACGACTTCCCAGAGCTCCTCTCAGGATGAGGCTCCATGGGCCCCTTCTGGGGGAGGGCTCAAGGGCTATTCCAGAACGGCTCCCCATGGGGACCCTATTCTGCAGCCCGTCCCTGTGTTCTGGAATGACTCGTGCGCTTTGTGAGCATGATCACCGTTCCGGAATAGAATGTCCACACACGGAGCCATTCTGGAATCGCTGTGGCAGAATAGCTTATTCCACAACAGTTGTTCTGGTCAGTTTCCCTATGCAGACAAACCCTTTGGTCTCAGAACATCCTAGTTTAGACTCTCCTCATGATGATGATGCCTATTCATCTGCATTCCAGTAGTGGCCCAGGCACCCCGGCAGAGACCAGGACGCTGGGGTGCTAGGCGCTGTACAACGAGCCGGTCCCTGCCCCAAGAGCTCTGAAGAAGTCACCGGGTGCTGGGGGAGGCAAGGGGAAAGGCAGACCCGGTAGCAGCGCTCCCAGCAGGAAATGAGCCTGATCCCGGGGCTCCCCGTCCTGCTGGGGGAGGACAGCCCAGCCCAGGGACAGCTTGCTGCCGGTTTGGGGGGCAGGGTGGGCAGCGGCCCGCCCCTTCCCAACCCCGGGAGCGGGGGTCTCATGGCATTCAGCCGGGGGTCCGGGGCAAGGGCAGGGGGCGCCGGCTGTGAGCGCAGGGCCCCGCTGGGCTCTGCCCCGGAGTGAGGGGGGTGGCGTGGCCCTGTTAGCACCTACCTCTGCGGGCGTCCTCTGCAACCGCGGGCCCCGCCGCCTGGCCCCGCCGCGCCCCACATCACTGCCCGCCCGCGCCAGCCCGCAGCCGCCTCCCCGAGCCCCCGGGCTGCTGCTGCATCGCTCCTGTCCCTAGCAGGCGCCCTCCGGCTCCCGGCGGCGGAGGCTGGCGGCCCCGGACCCCCTGCCGCAGCGGCGGCGGCTGCCCAAGGGCTGCCCGCTGCAGAGCGGAGCGGGTGACATCAGCCTGCCGGCAGCTGGCCCCGTTGGCAGCAATGCCGCGGCGGGCGGGGGAAAGGCAGAGGAGACCGCGGCCCGCGCTCCCCCGGCGGGGGTGGGTCTTGGCCCTGCCAGAGGGTGCAGGGTTAACAGCTGCCAACGTGTAGCCGTCCTCAGCACGTGCCGCCTTCCAAGGCTTCATCCCCACCCATCCCTGCAGAGCAGGTAGCTGGAGCCCCGTTTGGGAGAAACTGAGGCAGAGAACAGGGCAGTCACTTGCCCAGGGTCACCCGAGGAGTCATTGTCGGAGTCCTGCTTTGAGCACAAGAGACCTAGGTTCCAATTCTGCCCTCAGACCATTAGACCAGAGGCCTTCAAGCCCTGAGCTCTGCACCTGCCCACACAAGGTATTCACCTGGCATTCAGGGGCAGCACCCTGCAAGTTTTCCATGAAGAAACAGGGGGCATCTCGAGCCCTTATGGCTGCAAGGAAAATCTTCCAAAGGTGATGGGCGTGTAGTGGACACAGTTCTGTCTGCCTGAGTCTGCAGCCAGCCTGGGACAACAGCTCTAGGAGGGAGGTGAACAGCCTGGATGGAGCAGTAAGTATTAAGTCAAATTACCACAGGGTCAGAGCCAGGTTTTCATGTAACATGGGTGACCAGCTGCCTGGGGCAACCACTGCAAGTGTGCGAGCAACGCAGGTCACGTGCCACCGAACCCTGGCAGGCCGCAGCACCCAAGAGATTTTTTTTTCTCCCCCTGAATGACAAGTTTAGTGACCACATTAGGGCCATATCCTCTCCCCTACCAGCATTGGGCCAGCCGCCCCTCATCATTCTCCTGATTGCTTGTATTGTTATTGATGGGAGATCTGCTGTGGATTGAGGGGTGTAAATGGACCTGCCTTTGCAGGCTCAGTCCTGGCCCAGCATTTGAAATCAATTGCCCTGAGTTTCAGAAGTACTGAGAACCCTGGAGTTCCCACCGACATCGGGGGGGACTGCAGGTGCTCAGCATCTCTGAAAGTCAGGCCCAGAATGACACTGACTCCTCGGCACTGGGCCAGAGCTCCCAGAGCAGCGATTGGCACGGGGCAGAATAAAGCAACCAGGATGGTCTTGATGGAGGCTGGAACTCTGTCCTCGCCTCACCCTGTGGGGAAGACAGGCCTTCGGATAACCCCCATTGCCTGTATTGCACTTTCCAGCCCAGGAGCAAGGAACCATTTCACACCTTTGCACTGGGGGGAGCTGAAGCCCCAAGGGGGGAAGTGACTTGCCTGAAGTCATCCAGTGAGTTGGTGCCAGAGCAGAGAATAGAAGCCAGATCCCGACTCCCAGCTCTGTGCTCTGATCCCAAGAACAGCCCTTTCCAGATCCATGTGGGGGAGGCAGGAGGGACTCTAACCAAGTGCAGAAGCCCGAAGGCCAGGGGAGGGACCCTGCGATGCCCTGCAGGATCCTGCCAAGAATCCCAGGCAGCACACCTGGAGCAGAACACATACCGTATTCACCCTAATAGCCCCTTTCTTCCAGGCTGCCAGATACCTTTGTACTGTATGAATAAGAATAGCATCTGCAGCAACATGGGCCAGGACACAGCTCCATGGGCTCTGGCCCCTTATGCGTTGGGATGAAGTGGGTGTCAGGGGTGCATTCCCTGCAGTAAGATGCATTGTGGAGGGAATGATGCTATCCACTGACTCCCCTGCTCAGGGCAGATCTATGTGACATACAGCCAGGACACCACAACCTCCCTCAGCCGTTACCACAGGTCAGCTCCAAACAGTGGGAAATCGGGGGGAAAACAAGCAGAGAGGAGACAAGGCCCTGGTGGGCAGCACCACAAAAAGGGCACTATGGGAGCCAGCCAGGCAGCTGCCTCAGCCCGGCTTTGTCAGCACATTTCAGTGACAGCCCGTGTCTTCCTGTGTGTGGCAAGGAGCCAGGAATCCGGGCAAAACCACAGCCCTTTCCAAGAAGCAGCTTAGCTGAGACATGGGCTCTAGGGCCTCTAGTGTGGGGTGGGGAAAGGACTTGAGGCCTCACTCCTGGATGGTACTCGCCCTTCCTGGGATTTACTCCTGGCCATCCCCTGACAGAGTGTCAGGGGAGCCCTGTCCCCTAACTCTCATGGGAGAAGCTCCCACCATCCTCCTGCCTTCGCCCTTGAAGCAAATGCAGGTTCCGCAACCAACCTGTCCCCTTTGGGGTTTTCCTCCCGGCGTCTCCAGTTTAATGGTCCAGTTTCCTTCCTTTCCTTTTGGTCTTTAGGAGGAAGAGGCCGGGGTTGCTTCTTTTGTTGGCATCTTTCCAGGAGTGAGACAGGACTTTCCACCCCTCGCACGGGACTCCCTCCCTTGCTCTGGGGGGGCCACTGAAGGAGCTGTTGTAATAATTGGGGTGTAGCAAGCCTCCCTCAATTGTGAGCTCAGCTGGCAGGCAGTGGGTGAAAGGTCACACACATCTGACAATCATCTAGAACAATAAATGCTGACAGAGAAAGGTACAAAAGGGCCACAAAGACTGGCTTAATCTGCTGACACCAACCGAGGTCTGTTAAGATTGTGACTGGTAAACTAGAGGAGAATGGAATCGGAGATTAATGGACCAAAACTGGCATGTTGGATATTATGTCTAACTGGTGGTCACCCATCGCCCCCCTTTGGGATCCTTTAAAGAGATTTTGGGGGGACTGAATAGGGGGATTCCCTCAAGCAAAAGTCAATAGAGCTCTGCTTTGCTCTAGAGACTCTGCCTTCGTTGGTGAGCCTTGAGCATTGGGACCTCCAGCCTAGCGGACCGTGAGGCTGCCTGGACCAATGAAGACCCTTGCCTGATAGAGCAGGATCTCGTGTGTAGCTTCCCTTTCTTCGAGTATTCCCTTCCATTGCTGCTATCTTCCTCCTGTCCTCGTTCTCGGCTTTTCACCTGATCCTGGAATCTGCCAGCCCAAAGCATCTGTCCGTGACTGACTAACTACCGTGTATCCTGAGAACGTCAACAAAAAGCTGCATTTCCCCATGCTTGCTATCCTTTCTCCCCTGCATTTCTGTATCTTGGCTGTCAAAAGCAGAAAAAGTAACCATCATTAACAGGGGCCAACTCAACATTGAGCAACAGAACTAGCCCTTTCTTCCCCGTTAAGAAAGATTGCTTGAAAAAATAAGAGACTAAGCAATCTTCTTATGTGGCCTCTCCATTACTGCAAGTGTGCAACCAACGCAGCCCAGTCAATATGATCTTCAGCTAATCTCTTGATGGATGAATAGTCCTTTTAATCCATCCAGGATACCACATTATCCATCCAATATCTTCTTTTTCTGTCTCATGTTCTTCTGCCATCAACTTTCCCTTCAAGTGCCTGTAAACATGCATCGCCCACGGAACCCCATAAAATGTGCCCTGCAAATCAAATCTTTCTTTTCGTAAAATCTCTAACTAAGGTTTGCTGAGTTCCAATCATCTCCAGTACCTTTTTGTTGGTTACATGGTCTAGCCATGAGATTTTCAGAATTCTTCTGACCCATTATTTGGAGGATTGTAGTTTATCATCAATTGTTTGAATGTCCGGATTTCACAGCTGTAATTTAACACAGACCAAATGTAAGCTTTTAAGAGTCAGAATTTAGTCTTCGGATTTATGTCCCTTCTCACCAGATATTTATTGCTCCACAATGTCTCTTCTGCTCTTGCTAGTTTGGTGCTGATATCCCATCTTCCATCTTCAGTAATGATCCTTCCAAAGTGGTAATCATTTCTCATTTGCTGTACAGTAATACCATTTCAGTGATACCCTCTCTGAAAAAGGGACTTTGGTAAGTTTGGATTGTTTGTTTTGCAGAACCCCTCCTTTTTGCTTTGAAAATACTTTGTGTTTTGTTCTCCGTTCTTCTTCTCTTGCGTATCTCAATCAATACACCTCCAGACTTTGACATGAATTTTTGAGGGTGTTTGTCATGGGACTAAAAAGGCCGAGGTGTCTCTGTCTTTGAAACCCTGAACCACGTTTAACTAGGTAGTGCTAGTTAAAGACAGGGTCACTCTAACCCTTTTGACTCGCTGGGCCCACTTATTCCACTGAAATTAACACAACAGAGCTCAACCCCGGCAGTTCTCCCTTTGCTGGGCTCTGAGGCTCCACCTACCTCATCCAGCCTTTGCCAGGGGAAGTCCCAGAAGATGATATTAAACTGAGCAGCTGGGCCAGAGCCTAGCAGGAAGGGTGAGAAAGCCGAGGGTAAGCAAGAAAGCAACGGGCAACAAGGAATCCAGAATCTCATCTTCTGTTCAACACATGCTGCACATGGAGAGCATATAGCTGGGAGAGAGCGCAGTGGGCTTGCTCAATAGACATGGGAGTTCATTTCTTCTGCCACTCTTCTAAAGCAATAAGGGTGTTAACATTGTTATGACTAAAGCTCAACTGACTGGCCCTGGTGAGCTGTTTCAGACTTTGCTCCAAAGGCATCTGCAATGCCCAGGGTAGCTGGTGGCCCCAAGCATGGCAGGGCTCCTTCCTGCTTGAGGAAGGAGCAGACACCTCACCCATGGTGAGCCTTCGTCCCTGCAGCTTCTAGAACATCTCAGGAGGTAAAAACTGCCTTCCCTTTTGGCGAGAGACAGAGGTTTCTCTTTTAAACACATTGTGCCAGAGTAACCTGCGAAGACCCTGGCAGAAGCACTCGAGGGGGAGCAGAAGGCAGCAGGCTCCTGGGAGAAGAGCGGGGAATCAGCTACATTTCACACTAAACTGGACCACTCGCTGGCCATCTCTGGCTCTGGGCCCTGTGCTCCACCAGGACTGGCTGCCTCCCGCAGTCCCTCCCCTCCTCACCAGACCCATTGGACAGCTGAACCATTCTCTTGACAGACAGGCCATCCTGCCACTGCCACCCACACACACACTCTCATTTCAGACTCCACACTGGGTTCATACTTGCCCTTATCTCCCGTGAAAATGCTTGGGAGAGTAAGTCCCTGGGCTTGTTCCAGTGACGCAAGCAGAATCCTGGGGATTATTCCAGCGGCACCCTAGGGTAGCTGGGGTTAGAAGACACAGGGAGTAGAAGCTGGAAGCAGCAGATTCCTGAAGGTGGGCGGGAAGAAAT